ACAAAAAAAAAAAAAAAAATAGCCAGGAGTTGTGGCAGGCAACTTGTAATCCCAGCCTACTTGGGAGGCTGAGGCAAGAGAATTGCTTGAACCCAAGAGCTTGAGATTGCTGTGAGCTGTGATGCCATGGCATTCTACCGAGGGTGACAAAGTGAGACTGTCTCAAAAAAAATAAAATACATTGGACACAATTTCATTTTTCTCAATGTCTCTGGTTTCACAGTGAGTATATCTCTCATGGAGTTGCTTGTCCTCCATCATGACCCTCAAAGGCTGTTAAGGCATCTGAAAGAAACAGCACACAACACTGCCATGTGCTTCTTGAATATGTATAGTTAAAAAAGGTATATATAGCTATATCTGTAGATATAGATACACACATATATATAGTTTACACCATGAATACATATATATGTTCCTCCTTTCTATCATTTATGTAGTATTAAAAATGTATATAGCCCATTAACCCATGAATGAATTAACAAATTGGGGTATGTGTACGCCATGGAATACTATGCAGCCATAAAAGATGGTGACTTCACATTTTTTATGTTTACGTGGATGGAACTGGAACGTATTATTCTTAGTAAAGTATCTCAAGAATGGAAAAAATAAATAAAAATGTATATAGTTTAAAAAATGTATAGTTTATACCATAAATATGGATATATAGTTCCTCTTCTCTACCCATCTATCTTTTAGCAACGGATTTATACCACTTTGTAGTCTGCTGCTTTTGCTCTGCTTTGAGTTAGTTCCGTAAAGAACTACCTGCTGTATTAAAATGAGGAAGTGATGGCTACAGGCTGTTGTTCCCATCTGCCTTTTCCATCAGACTACTCTGTGGTGCAGTGTACCTCATGTTTTTGTGCATTATGGACATTTCACACAAGTCCATGATGAGTAGTCTGTTAGTCGAGGCGTAGGTAAGTTGGGAATGGGCTGTAGATAGGGTACATTTTACTGCAGATGAACTGACTGGTAGAAATATATTAAATGTTTACATTTACCATTGTAAAAATATTTTTCTGATAAAGATTAGAAAATGAAAAACTTCTGGAGAACAAAGCCTGCCTACAGGATTCTTATGACAACTTACAAGAAGTAATGAAGTTTGAAACTGACCAACTTTCAAAAAACCTCCAAAACTACAAAAAAGAAAATGAAACTCTGAAATCCGATCTGAAGGTAAGTTAAGAAGGGTTTTGGTAATTGGTGAATTTGTCTGGGCCTGTGACTTTTCTCGTGAATATGGGCCAGTGCTGTTCTGGCCTCTCTTCAGCTTTCTATACTTACCCATAGTGCCTACCAGAGAGAAAGTGCTTAGTCGACACATTTATTGACTACACATTGGTCGTAACAATTATTTAAAGCCTAATATAACCTTCTCTTGTAGAATTTGATGGAGCTTTTTGAAGCAGAAAAAGAACGCAATAACAAATTATCATTACAGTTTGAAGAAGATAAAGAAAATAGTTCTAAGTGAGTGCTATTTACCTTTCCATTAGTTGACTAGAATATTGTTTACTACCACATTCTTTATCTTGACTTTTTTTATTGCTAATACCCTATAAAGACTTATTTTTAAAAGCATTCCAAAATGAATGTCAGATTATTTTGTATAAATGGTTATGTAGAGAAACTTCATCCTTCAAAACATTCAGCAACTAGCTGTGATACTTTGAAATGAATAGCAGTCGATGGTGATCAGAACTCAGCCTTTTGTAAATAAATCACAGAATGTATATAATAAGACGACTTCTGAATGTTCCTTTTATTATTGGAAGGTGGAGTCTGATTTTTACTTGTGTCTCTACTATTCTTTTTCTAGCTGCTCTTTTATCTTCCTTATCCTTTAAGAGGAATGCTGTTTATTATCTTTCTTTTCTTTTCTTATTAAATCATAGCAGGGTACATTAATACTGTCATGGGGTACCGTGTGCTGTTTCTATATACAATTTGAAATACTTTTATCCAACTATTTATTATATTTCTTACTGTCTCTTCAAGTTCTTTTCCATAGTAAGTTCAGTGAGTCTCTTAGCCTCAGCCAATAGGCTGTTCATCACTCTGAGAAGAATTTATTTATTCAATAGATACAGAGTTTTCACTATAAGATAAATTTCTCCTCTAAGCCCTTGGTCTACAGCGGTGAATGTGGAGTGTAGATCTAGTTGGGAGGCAGAAAATTAACATTTAATTATTTATTCAAACGTTTAGGGATAGCCAATAATCCAGGCGCTGATCTGGTGAATGCCAGGACATTTAGAGGTAAACAGTGAGTAAAACTTCACTCTTCTTATGGATTTACATTCTAGCACAGGGAGACAGGTAATAATAAACAAATACTATATGATTTATGTTATGTTAGGGAGTATACAAAACACTCTGAACAAAAAGAAACAGTCATGGTACAAAAATGAGTACTCATTAAATAGTTGTTGAAGAAATGGATTCAAAGTTCTGATCCCCACTTAAATATAATGCCTAACACCAAGTATTTGCCTAATGGGGTTCATTTGCATTGGATTTAATCTCTTCTGTACTGACTCCATTTCTGTTTCCATTTCATGAAGTCAAGGGTAAAAGATGATTCTTCTCTTCCAGAGAAATCTTAAAAGTTCTTGAGGCTGTACGTCAGGAAAAACAGAAAGAGATGGCCAAGTGTGAGCAGCAGGTAAACGTCCTATCACTCTGACTCAACAATCTGAGATAACTTTTATTCCTGATATCTAAAAAAGCTTATTATAAAAACAGTTTCAGCTTTTGTTCTTGTCTTTTTTTTTTTTTTGTTAGAGGCAAAGTCTCACTTTATCACCCTTGGTAGAGTGCCATGGCGTCACAGCTCACAGCAACCTCCAACGGGCTTAAGTGATTCTCTTGCCTCAGCCTTCCGAGTAGCTGGGACTTCAGGTGCCTGCCAGAACACCTCACTATTTTTTGTTGCAGTTTGGTCGGGGCCAGGTTGGAATGCACCACCCTCCATATATGGGTCTGGTGCCCTACCCACTGAGCCACAGGCACCATCCAAAACAGTTTCAGCTTTTGGATGTTGGAAATTAATTATTTCTTCTTTCACCTATAATGAGGGAAATTAATTGTTTTTAATTATGGACTGCTTTTATTATTTTCAACTCTTGTTTTTCTAAGTCTCAGATGGCTAAAAGTCTACCAGGTGACTTGTTGGTACCTCCTGGTAAAGACCTTAAATTCATTGTCTTTTGGGCGGCTCCTGTGGCTCAGTGAGTAGCATGCCAGCCCCATATACTAAGGGTGGCGAGTTCAAACCCAGCCCTGGCCAAACTGCAACAAAAAAATAGCGGGATATTGTGGCAGGCTCTTGTAGTCCCAGGTACTCGGAAGGCTGAGGCAAAAGAATCACCTAAGCCCAAGAACTGGAGGTTGCTGTGAGCTGTGACACTACTGCACTCTACTGAGGACCACAAAGCGAGACTCTATCTCTCTAAAAAAAAAAAAAAAAAAAAATTTCCTTTCAACCCAATTTATTATTTTGCATTATCCCTCCTAGTATAATCTCTATAGTATGAAAAACAGATTTTAATTTATCTATGGGTGGTGATTGACTTTGTGATTTAATTCTTTTCCTAAAAATATTTATTTTTTTCCTATAGATGGCAAAAGTACAAAAATTAGAAGAGAATTTGCTTGCTACTGAAAAAGTGATCAGTTCTCTGGAGAAGTCAATAGATTCTGACAAGGTAGGTAGAATTTGAAGCTACTCCCTCTGCATTTTTTAATACATTGGTTGAACTTTCCATTCTCTTGTCCCTTCTGACACCTCCAGGGTGACTGATAGCTCACATTTCTGTGTTTTGGTCTTACTGGTCTTCCAAGGTCACTAGAGAAAAGTCTTCCTCTTAAGTTAATTTTTCACATAACTTCAGGTGTAAACTATTATACCACTTAGGATGGCATGTTTCTAAAACATATCCTATGCTTTTAACTAGGATTCTTGTTGGCTTTGAGTCCCATTATATAAATACTCAAATCCTTGGAGTTGATTCTAACTGGTATAATAAAAATAATATGTATATCTAAGTATAAAATTAGGCATAAAATCCTTATATGACTAGCCCTTATTCATTCATAAAACCAAGCAAATGATTAGGTAAAATAGCATAAAGCCATTAAAATATAAATTAATAATGTAATGTGACATGTGATATTTTGCTAAAATAAAATTGACTTCTTATGTTGCCAGTAGTAAAGGTAAATGAGGCTCGGTGCCTGTAGCACAGTGGTGACAGCACCAGCCACATACACTGAGGCTGGCCGGTTTGAACCCAGCCCCGGCCAGCTAAACAACAAACAACAAGAACAAAACAAAAAAAAGTAGCTGGGCGTTGTGGCGGGCGCCTGTAGTCCCAGTTACTTGGGAAGCGGAGGCAAGAGAATTGCTTAAGTCCAAGAGTTGGAGGTTGCTGCTAGTTATAATGCCATAGCACTCTCCTGAGGGTGACATAGTGAGACTCTGTCTCCAAAAAAAAAAAATGTAAAGGTAAATGATTTTGTCATTTTAAAATTATTTCCTTTCAGGCTCGGCGCCTGTGGCCCAACAGCTTGGGCACCAGCCA